CAGAAAGGGGTTGAGGCAGCAGGACACGCTGGACCTTGGGCTGGGGGCTGCTTCTGCAGCGGGGAAGACGCAGCACCCCAACACAGGGGCAGCTCATGGGTACAGGGGCCCAACGGCTTCGCCATCAAGGACAGGCGACTTCTGAGATACCAGAACTGCTGGTGCAGATACCACTTGGCAGACGGAGCTGGACTTTCACGGAAACCTGATGGGCTTCCCCCGCTGCGCTGTTCTGAAATGAATGCAGCCCCTAAGGCCCCCAGTCCTGCCCTTCCAATTCTCACTGTTAAACCCCTGCTCAAACGCAGTGAAAAACCACAAAGCTTATTTCTAGGGTGAGAAATCACTCCTCCTCTCCTCCAGACTGCAGATATTTAGTGATTCTTTAGACCAGAGAAGGGTCCATCTGAATTCCCCTCTATGCCTTGCTCTTACGTTCTGTAGCAGACTGCAACTTTTTGTCCCGGCTTTCAAAGGCCGGGCACTGCTGAACTCATCACCTTCCTCTGGGGCATCAACAGCCCCAGCAGACACAACATCATCTTATACCATAGCCCACGGCCCTTACATCACAGCCTTCACCTCCCACTCCCACGCAGGGGGTGTTTTACTCTCTCAGATGCTGTTCACCTACGCAGCAAGGACAACACTTGTGAGGTCCATCAAGTACCAGGGCTACAGTAACCCACGAGAAGAGCACAAGAAAGAGAAAACTCTGAACAGCATCACCGAGTTCCGGGGAATAACAGCAGTGCAAGCCTCAGGCCTCGGGGCTTCAAAGGGCTGAGGAGGAGAGAACTTTTCAGGGGACAAAGTGAAGCAGCAGAGAACGTGGCTGAACGCTACCTGCGTGTTGCCTTCATCTCCCTGAGCATGGATGGTGTAGGAACGATGCCCATTCTTCAAGGTCTCGGTGGCAACGCGCACTTCCACCCCTGGAAGCGGGGTGCCCACAGAACCTACAAAGGAAAACAAGACAGAAACAGTGGGCAGCCTCTGGGAAACAACAAAATCAAGGATGCAACAGAGCAGCTGCTCGTCTATCAATGGCATCTGCAGACTGTTCTGGCACTAAAGAACTTCCTAGCAGGGGGTTACCCTTCAGGAAGGCTTCGATCACATCGTATGTCTCATGCAAATGTCACTGCGGTGCAACACGCCGCTGTTTGCTGAGCAGGCAGTGTTGGAAATGCCTAGGAAAACAAATGTCTCTCCAGCCCTGAACAGTCTCTCTTGGCCAGTCCTCGAAGACATCAGCACAGCTTCGTAGCTCAGTAATGAAGCTGTCTTTTGGGGAAGAAAAAAAAAAAAAAAAAGGCACCATGAAACCTACACAAAGATGTGAAAAGAAAGAGCACAGCGATTACTACAGTGGCTCACTGCTTCTCTATAGCCTGGACCTGACAGAGAAGGCAAAGGCTTAACAGTGTGAGAATTGCAAGGGATTAGCTCAGGTTTATGAGACATCAATACCCTGTATATAAAACATCACAGGAGAAAAGCAGAGATCAAAGCCACACCGTTCTTCCACCAGTTTCAATTTTCAAAGCCAGGGAATCCGACACAGTGTCACGAAGGACTGCTATTAAGCTCCAAGACGGTTCTGCGACCCAGAGCCCCCCAACCTGCAGCCTGCAGCATTCCCACCCCTTGGCTTAGCGCAGGCTCTTCTCGGTGAGCATCTGAAAGCGCAGAAGAAAGGGCAGCTTTGTTCCTGTGACCTCTGGCTGATGGGGGGCTCCAGGCTCAGCAGCAACCAGGAGTCGTGGGCATCTGCTGGCTCAGCAGGTTTCACTCTGCATCTCAACAGCACGAGACGGCTCTCACCGCAAGCTGATGCCCGTGACTTTCATCCCCTGCGAGCGGGGAGAGGGACGTCAGCACAGAGCAATCTGTGGCTCAGGAGGACTGGACAGGCCTGAGCTTCAATCAGTGAGCGTACTCTTTATTTTAAGAGATGATCAATCATTCCCCTGGAGAGCCTCCAGTTGGTGATGCTTTCTAGCCCTGCTGGGATCAGCTCGACATTGGGGAGTCCTTAGAACAGGGTTGTGCAGAACCTGGAGCTCAGCGCTGCCTTCCCCCTGTCGTCCGGTATTTCAAGCAGCATTTTCCCTACCCCGGCTTCATTCTCCTGCCCAAGCCCTGGAGAGCCGCTATCTATGACATCATGATTTTGTTTGCTACATTGGTCAGTTGCCATGGAAATAGATATGTCGTCGTAGCCCAGATTTATGGCATCCCCGCAGGATCGGCTAAGAGCAGATGGGCTATGAGGGAGTGAGATTTTATTGCAGCGAAACTACCCGAACAATTAGCAAATCTGGCAAGAAATAAACAGAAAGCGACGTGGCAGTTCTGTGATGTGTGTCTGCTCAGCTTGAAATTGCCTTCGGCATTCAGGTCAGCCACCACGCAGCCAGGTCCTGCTCGGGCTGCTCTCGTCTCAGGGCCAGACACTGCCAAGAGTCGGAGACGCAGGACTGCAGCAGGGTGAGGAGGGAGAAGCACGTGCCAGGAGAAGTCACCAGCAGAAGCGCCCGGAGGTGCCGTGTGGAGGTATTTCTGTATTTTAAACAGCCTGGTCCCCGCCACGGTAGGCTCCAGGAGGACTCAAAGCGAGTAACGGGTCCTGGAAAACACCCCAAACACTTGCAGGCCAAGCTGGCTGAAGCCACCCCCCTGACTTCTACGGGAACGCTGTGAAAAACGCCTTGTGCAGCCTCCAACCTGCCTGCGAGCCACGGCAAGGGACGGCGGGCAGGCGCCGCAAAGGCCGTCTTGCAGAGCTCGCCGGGGGAGCGGCAACCAGCGCAACGAGCTGCCATGGGCTCTCACAGACTTGCCATCCCTGGAAGCCTTCAAATCAAGACCAGGGAGATGGGTGCCTTCCTGGAAGGTGCTTCTTCCCCGCGTGCAAGCTACTGGCCCCAAGGTGGAAGCGTAACGGACCGACTCACGGGCAGCCGGGCTCAATGATGAGCGCCCACTTCTAGTCTCAGTCTTTGAGAACGAAATGCCAGAGACCAGCACAGCGTTGTCAGGCAAATCTGAAGACACAGAGAAGGCAACGTGTGTCCCACACAGCATTTCAGATCACGGCTGCAAATACAGCTCCAGCGATTTATTTCCTACTCTCCTAAAGTAAAAGCAACATGTAAAATCGGTCCCTCACGGAGAGCTGTTTCCTTATATTCAGTCTGGAAAAGGCTTTCTGGTACTTAGGAAAACTGACAAACTTGGAAATCACACATCTGAAAAGGCTGAAAATGCTCACAACGTCGATTAGAGCTACAACAACCTGAGAGTATTCATAAAATTTGTGCAAAAACAATGACTAGAGCTTCTCAGGCCCACCCGTCGTGTCGGGAGACACGCTGTGCCGACTCCAACAGGTCAGCAGAAGGTTGAGCCTGTTCCCAGAGGAACAGCACCGGAGGTCCTGGCTTCACGGCGACTGCAATCGGGGGTGATCAGAAGGGGGTCGACACTCGGCACCGGCTTCCTTTTGTCCCCAGCCCTAATCCCGAGGGGAAACTGGGGAGAAACCCCTGCTCCTTCCCCTCTCGCTCCCTCCCGGCCCTCTCCCAGTTTGCAGCCTCCTGAATGTTAAGAAATGCTGGCAACACGCCCGCGGTGTCAGCTCAGCCGGCACCAGCCGGGCTGCAGTCAGGAAGGAGTGACACTATTATTCTTTCACCGGTTCGCCTCTGTTTAAAAAAGTTGTCAGCTCTTCCCAGATAAATTTAATTGGCCCTGCGGTCTGTGTCCTTCGGTATCTGGGGACCTTGATGCTGTTATGTGCGGTGGTGTCCTGGGAGAATTGAAACAGGCCAACGATAAGGCACTCAACGATCTCACTGTCAACAATACACGGAGTCCCCGCTGTAGGAGCTATTAGCCGCCTCTGATCTAAACCTCCAATTAAAGTGGTGATTAGGCCCAGTGAGGCATTCTCCATCTATGAATTATTCATCTCCCTTCACAGTAACAGCACCGGGGGGGATTAGAATGAGAGCTGGTGAAAACAGAGGCATTTTAAGCAGGGTTTTAACCATATACAAGCAAACATTTATCTTTCAAATCTTTTCATCTTTTCTTCTTCTGGAAGTTAAAACCCACCCCCGGCCCCTGCCCCTTCAGGAGAGCGGTGCCACGCTGCCAGGGACACCGGTGGCGACACGGGATGGGCAGCACCGAGGCCTCAACCCTTCCCCAGCCACACCGAGCGGGTGGAAGCGGGCGAGGGAAGCCCCAGGACCTCTCCTCAGAGGCTCACGAAGCAGTAGAGGAGGACGTGTGCTGCTTCCACTCCGGGAGAAATCCCCTGGCAAGCGTGAGGATCCCCAGACTTACCCACGGGGTGAAGCCCCACACTTGCGGTGCTCCTTTTCCAAAATAAAGCTAGCAATTGCTTTGGCCAGCGGGCGGGTCTGTGGTCACCGCCGCCCTGTAACACCAGTGCCGGCTGAGGCCTTTCCTCTGGGTGCTTCCCTCCTCATCCTGCCCAGCCTCTCTTTCCCAGCCCACCGTTGCATTTGACTCCCAGTCGACTTTCTCGCGCTGTGCTACCTGGTGACCTTACATCCCAGCCTCTAATGGGGTACTATATCAAAAGCTTTTTCACAGCTCCAGTAAATTATGCCTCAGCTTCACCCATCTGCTTCCCAACTGACACTTCCTGAAATAAATTAATCAAGCCTATTCAATTATAACCTTCTTTCTGTAAGGTCTCTCGCTGATCCACACCTTCGTGAGATACTTCTCTCCCCTCTGGGGGCTGCAGCAAGCCCCTGGACGGTGGCTGGCGTGACAGCCACCCGGAGCGGTGGCTGGCGTGCCAGCCAGCCAGCCTTTATCCCCAGCCCCTCTGCTTGTAGCTGCACGAGATGTCCCCAGCTCCCCCGCAGACCCCGGTACCCTCAGGGACCCTGCCCCAGCTCTGGTCAGGAGCACGGCCACCCAGCTCTGGAGCAGGAGCTGCCCACGCCTGTCTTGCCCATGTCGCTGTCAGTCTTATTTCCTTTCTCCTTTTGCCTCCTGGGATATTTCTAGAGCCTCCACTCATCTCTGCTTGTAGCTGCACGAGATGTCCCCAGCTCCCCCGCAGACCCCGGTACCCTCAGGGACCCTGCCCCAGCTCTGGTCAGGAGCACGGCCACCCAGCTCTGGAGCAGGAGCTGCCCACGCCTGTCTTGCCCATGTCGCTGTCAGTCTTATTTCCTTTCTCCTTTTGCCTCCTGGGATATTTCTAGAGCCTCCACTCATTTCCCTTCCTGAAGATGAATGAGAAGGAAATACATAACCAGGCCGCAGGGACATTGAAGTGATCTCCACACCGTCACCCTGCAGCGCGGGGCTCACAGGCAGCTCGAGCTCGTGCAGGTGGGAATCTTGTCTCCCTGCCTGCTTCCCTCTTCAGCCTGCAGGGATGGGGCTTCTGGACGAGCTGTGGTGGGGGGACGACAGTCACTCTGCCCAAGTAAACCAGAGTCTGTATTTCACGCTGCCCCAGAGCTGTCCTCAGGCTGAGGCGGCACTGCGGGGGGAGCTGTGGCTTCTCCTCGCCCTGCGCGATCCCTGCAGGGGGCACGGCTGCTGCACCCCGTGCGACTGGGGAGCTGTGGGAAGCCACAACGCCCAGGACAGCCCCCCTGGGTAACATCGGTCCCCCAAGACACCGGAGACCACGACGGTGCATATGGTGCCATGCCGGCGCAGACAGCATGCAGGGAGGAGAAGGTGGCATAGTGGTGGGCTGGGTTGCTCGGCAGACAGATGGCCACGTTTTTAACCAAAGGGAGAGTGGGGGCATTTTATATTTTTAATGTTTCAGATCAATTTATTTCTAGGTTACATAAAGTACAGCTACGGAGAGGAGTCGCAAAGTGTATCTAAGAGAAGTGAGGGAAGACAAGGAGAGAACAGAACCAGAGTGTACACCGAGGTGTGACAATTTGTAATCCCTGAAGAGTCAAGAAACTCGCCTAAAATCAGAGTGAGCAGACACCCTATCTTAAATGTTCAGCACCGATCGGTCGGACGTGAACTGCTGCGTGGGGAATCCTCTGCCAACACCACACATGAACACCACTTCCCAGAGCAGGAGCTGAAGATGCAGTCCCACCACAGCCCTTGAACGCGCTCAGACTTTGGAAATAACAAAGCATCAGTATGGGCTCTGCCTCCCGGGCAGAACCAGCCTGGCTGGAGAGGACAGCGCGCGCCACTGCGAGCTCTGCACACACAATCCACCACGGCCGCTGATCCCAGGGAAAGCCACCGGCCACTTCCCACGCACCCATGCCCCCCTCCTGGCTTCCCAACGCCAATTCCCCTACCAGCATCCTTGTTCCTGCCATAGCCCGCTCCCCAGCCATGACAAACGGCGATATGGGACGAGAAACCCCAAGAACACTCCGCAGCCAAACGCCTCCACACAGCATGCACCCTTCTAGAGACTCCTACCTGGGACACGGACTCCATGCAAAGGGTTAGAAAGCGCCATCCCAATCTCAGTCATCCCATACCTCTCCAGCAACGTGTGCCCAGTGATGCTCTTCCACTTCTCCAGGACAGGCACAGGCAGGGCTGCTGAGCCTGACACCATTAACCTGCACGAGGAAACCCCATGTAAAACAGTATCCGAGACCACCTTCGCTCCAGGGAATTTGCAGTCTACCACCGGGTTACAGAAAACCTGCTCCTACCTAAAACCTTACGCCCCAAAAGCCTTTTGACCTCTACCAAGGACGTTCCTCACGTAGAGGAGATTCTCTGTGTGATATGGCTCTTTGAGACGGGACAGCCTCCTAAAAGAGACACCGCAGTACAAGCTCGGGTCGCAGGACAAAGTCCTTAGTCTGGTGTTACGCAGGGTGACACACACAATGAGCACGCAGACCCCTTCTGGCTTCACCGTGCAAGAGCGGCTCATAATTAAATAACGTCACCCTGGTTCTTGTCAAAGACACTAAAGCACAACAACCAGCACTGCGAAGAAGTGACGCTGAAAGGAAAACTTCGGCAGGGGGGGGCCCGCCCCCCCTCGCCCAGAGGGACACCGCTCACCCACCTGATGTTCTCCTGGCAAAAGGCACGCACGAAAGCCTGGACTTGTGGTTGAGAGAAATGCTCGTCGTAATACTCGATCAGCTTGGCATAGATAGTGGGCACTGCCATGAAGACACTGATACGGGGAGCCTGGGGGCTCAGGAGCTTCTGCCAAACCTAGAAAGGAAGGGAACATACACGTATAAAAATCCATCTCAGGGTAGAGGGGAGCAGTCGTCAGTGCTGACTCCTCAGCACCTTTGATGAGGTTCACAAGGGAGGGCTCTGCAAACACTTCACAGGGCCGCGAGCCCCACCACTGCTCCCTCCTATGGTGCAAGGGGAAACCGAGGTAAAGGAGTGCAGCAGGCTTGTCCAAAACTAAGCCACCCTAAGCTGGTCACAGACAGTGAAACCTCTGCTATCCAAGGCTTCTGGAGAGTATAAACCACTGGAAGCCTCTTGTGTGCATCACATCCTCATCCAGATCCAGAACAACAGCTCCCAACCTTCGTCATGCTTATTGCCCAAAGCACGACATGCAACTCTCGCATCCCACCCGTGGATCACCCAGCTCCTCTCAACGAGCACAAGATGATGGAAACCGCAGGGTTTAGAACTTGCTCACGAAGACGAAAGCTTGTGGCAGAATCAGTTAATCCCCTTATCACGTACAACTCTTCAGAGGCTACACAAAGCCGTTTCTCAGAGCACAGGGGCCCTTCCTTGGAAAGACACGAAGCCACATCTGAAGAACACGATACCCAGGTAGGAGCCCGCACATCTCGAGCCTTTGAGGGAGAAACGCTCGTAAGGCAGATGGCAGAGGTGGGAAGAGAAAAATCACGCACTGGAACGGGGAGACTCCACTGCGGTGGAAACGGTCACCTCCTGGTGAGCGGGTGCAGAGCGACGTGTCCCACAGCGAGCTCAGATCAGCCACCAGAAAGCGCAGCTCAAACAGCGGCAGGCAGGAGACAGCAGCTAGCCAGGAGGGCCACTACACCAACCTCCCGAGAGGAGCGGTCCCTGCGGGACAGACGTTCTTCAGCTGCGACTCCTGCTGACCTGTGGGAACTACAAACGGGGCCAAATTCCCGGAGCTGGCTCTGCTGAGGGGTGGACTGAAGACTGAGCGACCCCAGCTGCTGCCCTGGCTGAGCAGCCCTACCTGGGAGCAGTTCGCAACGGGTAGGCGCCACAAACATGGCGAGCGGGCCCATTCCTTCCACACCTCGTCACTCTGCCCCCCTAGGTAAGCTCTTCCCAAGACAGGAGCAATCCAAAGGCATCAATAAATAAAAGGCTTCGGTGACGGACGCCCTTTTCCTTTTGCTCCGGTCCCTGCCCCGTTGTTGACAAATGTATTTCCTAACAGCTCCTGACAACGCGCGCCGCCTCTCCCCTCCCTGCCCGTGCACGCTCAGCTGCACACAGGCGCACACGACGGCGAGGAAAAGCAGGAATTGATTGAAGGTGAACAAGTGATTCTCCTTCATGCTGTCACTCTGCCCCCTTCCCCTCCACCCTGCTCGCTCGGGCTCCATTTCATTACTTTCTACTTCGCTGCGCCGGTGCCGCCTCCCCCCCGCGTCTCTCACTCCACTGCTTCAGAACAATCAGCTCCTAAAAAAAAAAAAAAACCCAAAAAAACCACCACCACCACGTTGTTATTCTTAATAGAGCAGGACACGGCCAACAAAGGCACCGTGCCACCGAACAGAAGGGACTTCACGCTGCCTTCCAGCCCGGAGATGGTCCTCGATGGAGCGAGACAAAGGCACAAGGTGGAAACCCCCCCGGACACCTCGGGAGCTGGGACATGAGCGCTGCAAGATCCCCGTGGCATCAGGGAAAGCTGAGGAGCAACAGGACTTGCCTGGTCCGACGGGTGACATGCCTGGAGAGGGAACATCATACTCCCTGGCAAAACCACCACCTACCAGCATGATCCCCTAAAACGAGCCAGAATAGGCAAAATTGCGTTTAGATGGATGTAACCCCCACCGTACTCCTCCCAGCCTCTTTCCCCAAAGATCTTTTTCTCTTCAACCCCTCAATATCTTTCCCATTCGAGGCAGGAGGATGGAGAAGGACCTCTCCAAAGCCAGGGGCTGAATGCACAGAGCTGCTCTCCTCAGCCCGGTGCTCCCACTGCCTTGGGCAGGGAGAGACGCGTGACGGCAAGCAGGGATCAGGACCGTGCCGAAAGCACTGAAGGGAGACAGATGCTCGGGGCTGTTCGACCCTTGCTCTGTGCGTTGGGGTTTTTTTTGCCTGCACGAGGCCAGAGCAGCTGCGGGGAGCGCAGGCAGACTTCCAGTCTGGCCACGCAGCAGAGTTATTTTCATACGGATTTGGGAAAAAACCCCCAAAACTGTCACTTCAAAACACAGCAGATCTCTCTTGCACCCCAGAGTCCCTTGTCCTCTCACGCCTGCTCAACTCCTGCCCCAGATAAAATCCTCTCTACCACCACCCCGCCAACAGGAGCAGCTTTTTCCGTGTCAGTCCGACTCGCCCCAGCAACAGCCCCTTTCCTGAAGATAAGCAGTTGCCTTTGGATTTGTGCCACCAGCTGCCGGGGTGATCTGCTGACAGCCAAACATCCCCACCTGCTCTGCTCCTGCTCGGCCAAATCTGGATCCTACCCATGTGTTTGAAGGGTGCTAAGCACCCAGCCGTGGTACAAAGCTGGTGGCCCCAAGCCCTCCGCAGACCCCGAGCCGTCCGGAGGGCTGGTCGCTGCCCAGCCAGCTGTAACAGCTATTTCTGCTTTAGAACTATAACTTCACGCTTTGAGAGACTGGGAAAGTCTCGTTACCTGGGACTAATCAATCAATCCCGGGGCTTGGACAGGCTCGTAGCAAGGGGCCAGCTTTGCCCTTCCAGTGCACGGCACCCTCCGACGCTGTCAGGCTTAGAGCAGCACAATCCATCTCGCCCTCTGTTACCCCACGTGTCACCGTCACCACATCCATTACCCGGGGACAGGCTATTGGCAGCCCATCATTTCATTTTCTTTCGCTCACCTGATGCCCCAGGACTCCGAGTTCTTTTAAAAAGCCACGGATTCTGGAGACAAACACGGCACCGCGTGCCGGGGCTGCCGGGCTCTGCACTGAGCGCCCACCGGACCCAAGGGAAGCAGCAGCCTCCCATGGAATATATTCAGGAGATGAACCAAGATTCCTTTTAGGATAATCGAGGGCTAGAAACAAAAAGTTTCTAACTGCAAGAAAGAAAGAGTGGGAACAGCTTCGTATCGGCAACAATGGCAGCAAAAGCCCAGGGCAGGCTGAGCCAGCAAAGAAGCGAGAGACGCTCTGTTCCCAAGAGCCTTCCCATCAGCCCGACATTCCTGATTTTCTTCCCCTCCCACTGCACAAAAGCGTATCTGGGCAATTCCACGGGCTGGCCAGTGGGATTTTGCCATCAGTAAAAGGAAAAAAAAAAAAAAAAAAGGAGAAAAATCCACCAGTGGGTACAAAACAACAGACCCAGCTGTAAGATTTTTCCCACGTATTTTCTTCCAGCACACAGATGGCACGACGGTGAAGGAGGACAGAGGAACATGCAAGCTGCTCCAAGAGACGGTCCTTCCGTAGACCAACCCTCCCAACCCGCCTCCAGAGCTGCTAAGATCACCCGAAGCGAGAGATGCGAGCACAGAGGAGAAAAGGCAAGAACGTCTTTTGCCTTTACAGAGGCCTCACCTTCAGGGGGAGACGCGCGGTGCCGTAAACGAGACAGAAAACACCAAATCGCCCAATATCTGGGCATCTTCTAAGGCAAGAAACGAAGAGAAGGCGGCAACAACCATTTGTATGCTAAATCTTGCGAGACTTTGCCTGATACAGGGCTCCCAAAACCAGCCAGAAGAGATGCAGGCAAAAATGCCTAAAAGCTGCAAAGGAAGCGAGTATCAGCATGGATTTTCCACCCCCCCCCTAGACCGCAAACGGGTAACAGACAGCCCGCGCTGCTGTCGACAGACAGAACAGCTCCTCTCTTCTATAAAATGATTGTATCGTTTGCAGCTGCTATTGAATCTTTTTAAAAACCTTTTCCAAAGTCACAATACCCCTAACGCGAGGTTAAATCATCCCTTTACTTCCCTTTTGAGCGGGGAGATGGGTTCGCGCCTCGCATCGATCGCTGCCGTGCGGGGAG